CTTCGGGGAAGGAAACGAGAGATCCGGATAATTGCCCGTCCCGCGCCCAACGCCGCGCACAGAAACACTCCGTTTCATCCTTGAAGCTAACACCGGCACCTTCGACGAAGAGAATCGCTCACGTCCATATACTCGCGAGGTCTACTGCAGGGAAATTGACCCCGCCTGGAAAGACCCTGATGCAGAAGGAGAGCTAAGCGTTAAGGAGGAACGAGACAAGGTCAAGACAACAACAGAAACAGAAGCAGAGGAGGCAGAGGACGAAGCAGAACCAGGAGAAGAGGAAGAACCCCCACTCCAACTTCCGCAGGAGACGAAGGCGGAAGCAGCAGAACACCGCGCTCGCTACATGCGCACCAGCGGCATTCGCGCAGAAGATGACCTCTGGCACCAGCGATTCGGCCATCCCTCGCGCCAGACCCTTGCTAACTGCCTCCGCGCCAAAGTCTTCCTCCCAGGAGCACTCCTATGCCCCGACGGCACTGAACCGCACAACACCCCACACCCGCTCACTTGCACCGTTTGCCCCACAGCGGCCCTTACTCACAGTGCCTACCCCTCTCTGGAACCCAGCACCAATCGCTACAAGAAGCCGCAAAAGGTGTATAGCGATTTCATCGTGCTCACCTGCGACGACCTCAATGGCGAAAAATACACGCTGACCTTCATCGACGCTTACTCACGCCACGTCTGGGTTGTCAACGTCGACGCGCGCTCCAAGGCCCCAGAGGTCTTCCGCATCTGGCTCGCACACGCACAACGGCAGTCGGGGAGGAAGCTGAAAATCTGGCAGAGTGATGGCGCCAAGGAGTTCCAAAGTCACGAACTGGAGAAGTTCTTACAGAGAAGGGGATCAAGCACGAAATTTCCCTCCCCTATGCTCACCAACAGCAAGGCGTCGCGGAGAGGGTTAACCGCACCCTCATGACAAAAGTGCGCGCCCTCATGAACCAGTCCGGCCTGCCCAAGAAATTCTGGCCCTACGCCATGAACCACGCGGCGCGCCTGCACAACCTGCTCTCTACCACAGCCAACAGGGACAACCTTTCCCCGCACATGAAGTGGACCGGCGCAAAGGGAGACCCCTCCATGCTGAGGGTTTGGGGGTGTATGGTGCAGTACCAGCCGACTTGATCGACAATCGGCAAATTTGCTCATCGTGCGCGTTTGGGAATCCATCTGGGACTCAGCAACGAGCACAAGGGTTGGCTTATTTTTGACATTGACAGCAAGGAGATTGTTCCCGCGCGCGATGTTCTCTTCTACGAACTACTAACCTTGAGGCAGTGGATAGAAGACGAACGGCGCAACGACGCTCGCGGCTACGTCAACAGCGGCCGCAGCTTTGCGTCCCCAAAGGATGCAGCAGCAGCAACAGCACTTGACGGCGACGACACTGACGATCATCCCGGTGTTCCGCCTCGCCCGCGCACGGACGACGACGACGATGATAGTGACGACGCGCCCGCGCCCGGACCGTCTCAACGCCAAGGCGAACCAAGCACATCCTCACCTGGCCACGAGAGCGACGATGACGACGTGGTGGAAGTCCCCACAACCGATACCGCGGACACCACGAATGTGTCTGGTCTGCAACTTCTCGGCCTTCACACCTCGGTTTCTACCCTCGCCCGCGCCGTCGAACCTAAGAACCTGCGCCAGGCCCTGACAGGCCCTCACGCAAAGGAATGGCGTGCAGCAATGGATGCAGAACTCAAGGCGCTGGAGTCTCGTGACACCTGGGTTCTCGTCGATCGTGCAGCAGTGAAGGGGAGAAGGGTGCTAAGCGGAAAATGGGTATTTCGTCTCAAGACTAACGCTGACGGAACCATCGAACGCTTCAAGGCACGATGGGTCGTACGCGGATACGACCAGCGCCACGGCATCGACTTCGACCAAACCTTTGCTCCCGTCAGCCGCCACACATCGGTCAGGATACTACTCGCCATAGCCGCCGCTAAGCATCTGCCACTGCGACAGATCGACGTAAAGAACGCGTTCTTATATGCGTTGGTGGACGCAACCATCTTCGTGGAGCAACCACACACTTACGGAGAAGGAGACCCCAGGGTGTGCCAGCTAAAGAAATCCCTCTACGGGATCAAGCAGGCGCCTCGACTTTGGCAGCAGCACCTACACAAAATCCTGCTCGAGATCGGTTTCAGGCAGCTGCCGCACGACCCGGGGATGTACCGCCTTCACTTTAGCGGGGACTACATCCTCCTCACCGTCTACGTCGACGACCTGCTGTACACTGGCACCTGCAGCAAGCTTCTTAACCAGTTCGAGGAGAATCTGGCAAAGCGCGTAGACATCACCATCAACCATAACGTCACTCAGTTTTTGGGCCTGAACATCACCTACGCGCCAGAAGCAATCCATCTGTCAGCCTCTAAATATGCAGAGCAGCTGGGGGAACGCTTCAACATCTCACCCGCACCACTCTCAACTCCCTATCGCAGCCCCAGCTCCAACTACAAACCGGACAACAAACACCTATCCCCCGCAGAACTTCAACTATACCAGCAGCAACTGGGTTGTCTGCTGTTCGCTTCTGTCACATGCCGACCCGACCTTTCGTACATCGCCAGCCAACTAGCACAGTACTCTCGCAAGCCAGTAGTCGAGAACCAGCTGGACCTGGAACGCGCCCTGCAGTACTTCATCTCCACACCTGACATCGGGCTCTCCTACTCCACGCTGGCAACAACCTCCTTCAACCTCAACGGCTACGTGGACGCAGATCATGCCGCTGACCCTGCGAATCGACGGTCCCGAACCGGCTTTGTTTTCCGCCTGGAGCCTACTGGCCCAATCTCCTGGAACTCGCAGAAGCAGGAACTTGTTGCCCTGTCATCGGCCGAAGCAGAATACATCGCCGCGACAGCAGCAGTTCGCGAAGGCTTGTATTTGCAGGAGCTGCTACAGGAGGCGAAAATTCCAACTTCGCCCACCTTTCGCCTTCACTGCGACAACCAGAGCGCCATCAAGATCGCGAATAAGCCAGGGTTCGTGAACCGCACGAAGCACATCGCATTGCGATACTTCTTCGTCAAAGACGAAATCGATTAGGGCAAGGTTGACCTCGCATACTGCTCAACAACTGAGATGGCAGCCGACTTCCTCACCAAGCGTCTGCCACGTCAGCAGTTCAAACACTGCTCCGACCTCACCGGAGTGGTCAAGCGAGTCAGCACCCTTCGCGTCCAGGAATGAAGGGGAGTGTTACGATACGAAGTTTTATGAGAAGGCATTCTTTATGCTGCAGGAGCCGACTCTACCGAGTACGAAGTCGAGGAATCAGAAGAATCGAAGCGACACAACAACCATGTGACCAAGGGCGATGCGGGAAGAAGCATTCGAAATGAATAGAGCGGGAACCGATTTGAAACCGATTCCTGCGCCGCACAGTTTCTGAATTAAATTTCGCTGCAATAAGGGAATGTACCCCTTAGAGTACATGGCTAGTCTAGGTCGTTTCGCATTCCTTTGTATTCCTATATAAACCCAATGTATGCATGCTATTATCAATCTCAGTCATTTACATTCACTCTGACCTGAGTTCAATACTTCCGCTGCGACACAACCCGCGATCAACCCTGAACGATCTTTTCAGTAAGACTCACTTCAGATTGTAACAGTAGTCCCCACACCCAGCAAACGTGGCACGATCTCCATCGTCGCACATTGATGGACAGGCCAGGCATTGCGACCGTGGCCGGCTGGACTCAAAGTGCCGAGAAGTTGAACCGCGTGGGGGAACTTTCTATTGTTAATAAAAGCCACGTCAACATTTCGAGACGCGTGGTGGAACTTTGGCTGGTGGGGGAACTTGAGAATGCGCCCTGAGTGTGGCGAGAATAGTAATGTACGCGCTAAGCAGGGATGCGGCGTAAGGAAATAGAAATATCCTTTTAAGTAAGCCAAGGTCGGGGACTCAAACGAGCATCGATTGTACGAAGTATTTGCATCTTCTAAGTTTAGATGTTCCTGCTTTCACGGGGCTTCAGGCTTCTCGAACAGCTCTGTCCCAACGGTTTGGTGCGGCGTGGAGTTCATCTCTGCTTGAGGCAAGGTGACCGTTCCCACCAATCGCACACCAACCGACTCCCCACTCCACCCCACCTACATTCCTTCACTTCTTCACTTCTTCACATTCAGTAGTAACACGAAACACTGCCACCCCGGCAGCACTCTTACTGGTACATTGGAACTCAAAAAATTAGGTTTGAGGGATGTTCAATCGCAGGACTAAGTGTTCATGCCTAGGGTGATATACGGTGCGTAAACGTTGACCTGAAGCGACGTATGTACTTCACAGTGAAGATCCCGGTCGTCAGACGGTCGTCGTGCGAATGTCCTTAGGCAGCGGTTCTCCCCTGGCGCCGAGCGTGTCTCCCCCCTCTCGGTGGGATGGCGGGCAGCAGTGCGTGCTGCACGAGGTGACTCGCTTCGACACCCTCGCCGGCATCGCCATCCGCTATGGCGCCCAGGTGCGCCCAGCCTCGCTTTCCTCGTGTCCCGCCTAGGTATTCTCGTCATTACCGCCGCGTCTCGTGTGTTTCCCTCTCACCTCTTCCTTTCTGCGCGGAACTAAAGCATTTCTCTCCGCTGCTGTCAGCCCGATCGTCTTTGTCTCTCGCATCTCGCTGTAGAAGGTTCTACTCGTGCAATAGCTGTGTCTGTAGTTAGTTCTCTCCGCTGCTGTCACTCGAACATTGGCATGCCCACATGAGCACGCAGCCAGTGCGTCGCAGCATCCTCGCGTCATTCTGTGCTAGATTTTTTTGAGATGTCTCAAAAGTGCAAGATTCTTCCTCTCCCGCCCTCCCGCCGTCTAGCATGCCCGCCTCGTGTGCTCCTCGTCACTCTCCTTCCCGCCGACCCTTCTCAAGCGCACGTCTATTTCCCGCAACGAGTAGAGTCATGCCATCCATGCATCGTGTTTCCATCCCGCCTCACTCATGTGCTGCGCGCCGTGCGCGGTGCGCGGCGAGCAGGTGGCGGACATAAAGAAGGCGAACCGCATTTCGACGGACTCGCAGATGTTCGCGATGAAGTTCATTCGCGTTCCGCTCTCCGCCTCACTCTCCACCTCGCCTCCGCTGCTCTCCCCCACCTCCTGCAACCGTGCCAGGTCAGCGTCGCCCTGTGTATGCTTTTTGCGGATTGCAACCCACCCACGAGATCAAGCACCTGTTGCTCCTGTTGCACCTCATTACTGCAAGGGCCAAGCTGTCATCCCCCCTCCCCGCCACCAGCGGTGCACCTCCTCTCCCCTCCCCACTCGCTCCTGATCCTTCCCACTCTCTCTCACCTGCTTCCCCCTCTCTCTCACCTGCTTCCCCCTCTCTCTCACTGCTTCCCCCTCTACCCTCACCCCTTCACCCGGGAGGCACCATTGTTCATTTGAACTGGATGGACCCTTCCTCCCCTCCCCTCCCCTCTCCTCTTCCCCCCCCCAACCCCCCCCTCCCCCCCTTCTCTTTCCACGTTACCTCTCTCACCGTCTCGTGCTGTCCCTCTCGTTATCGCACCCCCCTCCCTGCACCCCCATCTTGCCACCCTCGTCAACCCTCCCCCTCGCAGTTCCAGTCACGCGGGGAACAGCCAGCAGCGCACAGAGCAGCACGGCACGGGCAGCTCGTCGCCAGCAGCCACCACCAGCGCCGTCATGGCTGGTGGCAGCGGCAGTGGCAGCGGGGGCGGGGCGGGGTCGCTGTCGGAGGCCATCCTGCAGCTGGTGTCGGCGCAGGCAGCCGCGGAGCACGCGGAGGCCCACAGCCGCAACCTGGCGGCGGCAGAGGCAGCGGGGCGGGCGCGCGCGTCGACCTTCTTCTTCGTGCAGATGCGTGAGGCGGAGCAGTACGTGTCCTCCGAGGGCGAGGAGCCCTCTCCCCCCTGCCAGCGCGGCACGTCCCTGTCAGAAGGCGAGGGCGATGAGGGTTCACGCCGCCTGTCGTGGCTGGGCGGAGGGGTGGGGGGTTTCTACTCTGGTGCCCAGAGCAGAGGCGCCAACAGAAGCACGTGGACTGGGGAAGCCAGACAGACCAACGCACAAGAGTTTGGGTGGGGCTTGGGCGTGGAGGAGGGCGGAGGGGGAACAAGCACTTGGCGGGGGGGATATGGTAGTGAGGGGGAAGGGGGGTGGGCGAGTGGGGAGGAGGAGGTGGGAGGCAGAGGGGGTGGGGCGTCTAGACGGCGGCGGACAGAGCAATCAGCAAGCGGGAGTAGAGCAGGCAGGGACGGGGGAGTGGGAGTGTGGGGGCTCATGTCATCATCAGGGCCGGGGCTGTTCGTCCGGGGTGGGCAGGAGGGGACAGGGTCGCGCACAGCAGCGGCGAATCTGGGGGCGGCAGCGCGGTGGGGGGGGCGAGTGGTGGAGGACCTGCTGTGGCGCTTCCACAAGTCCACCAGCTTCTCCACCTTTGAGAACGCTGGCCTGCTCAACGCCTCTGCTGTTGCTCCGGGCCTGACGCGCTCTCCTCTGCGCCGCGACCCCAGTGGCAGCCTGAGCACGGGCATCGACCTGCCCTCCACTCGCAGCTGGTCTCGCCCGTCGTCCGCCGCGGGCGCTGTGGAGGCGGGGGGCAGCGGTGACGGGTCGGTGCTGCTGGGGTGCAGCATGCCCATTAAAGGGGGCGAGGGTGGGGTGTGTGACGATGGCAGTAGCACAGCGGTGGGCGGATCTGCTGTTTACGGGAGTGTGACACGGCGAGGTGTGAGCAGCAGGAGGGGTAAGGGTGTGCCTGCTGACATCGTTGGCTGAGCACCTAATGGTATGGGGAAGGACTGGCCATAATGGCACAGTACTACCGTATTATCCAGACAAGGCAATCAACATCACCACGAAAACGTTCCAAATGAGATGGGTGCGCAGCCCAAGTGCCCATCGTCCTAGGCTATACAGTATTCATGTTCATTATTTTTGTGCTGGACGTTCTGATGAGGTGGCCCTGATGCCTGGATGCAGAGAACCTGACTGCTCTATCTACCTGAAATCACAGATGTAAACCTGAGGCTGGCTAACAGGAGCACTCAAAGATGGCTCAGCTGATTTTTCTTTTACTAGAAAACGATAATAACTTTATACAAAGAAGCACAAAGCTGGAAGGCTTTGTGGGGACATAGCCCAAAGAATGGTGGGGCACTTGCCAATCCACAGCTCTCTAAAGCAGCAGCCGGTGGGGGACCTGCAGACGCCACAGCAGCAGCAATACAGCAGCATGTGCTGACTCCATGTTGCTACAGGGTCACGAAGGAGGCCACAGCAAGCCTGGTAGCAAGAAGAACACAGAGCCCACAAACAAGCCAAGTTTACACTTGCCCCCCCATGCCGCAGTAACCTCACAGCCAGCCCAACGGCACCAAAGACGAGCAGGCAGCAACAATGTTTCAGCTGTCCCCAATGGCCGCAGCTGCCACGTGTGAGCTCCTTCTCCCGACCTGTCTCGCTGTGTGTGGACCGCCTCTGCCTCTGACCATACTTGGCCCTCCCGCTGCCGCAATGCCGTTCCTCTGCATGTCGCGTGTTAGGCAAGCGCCTGTGATGACAGCTCACGCTTATGTGCCTCGGTGCAACGAGCTCAGCACTCAGTAACACTGACACACACACCCCAGCTGCTGCATCAGCCTCACACAAGCACGTCGCCCGCCACACCCTGCAGTTTCCCCCCGCCTTCCACTCACCATCAACAACACGAAGCACCGCACACAACCGAGCACAACCGAATAATTTCAACGCACACACTACCATCCATCACCCCAAAGCGGATCCCCTTTCTCGAGACCACGCGTCTGCTGCTATCCAGTCCGCCCGCATCCGTGTGACTCGCCAATTCATCCTCATGATTACGTCGGCATGCGCTGACGCTCAACTCACGCGCACGGAATCAGTCGCACTTGCAGACCCATCCATACTCGCTCCATGCGCGCTCTTGAATTGCCTAGTCCCGCTGCGGCGGCGCTTGGTGCGCGGTGGGGCGCGCGTCGAAGACGCCGTCGATGACGTGGTCGACGGCGGCGTCCAGCCAGTGCAAGCACCCGCGCGCCAGGATGTCCGACACGTGTCGCTTCGACCGCCACGCCACGGCGTACCCCGCCGACACCGCGGCTGCGCCGACGCCCAGCGAGAGCGCGGGGAGCAGCGCGCTGCGGTCTACGGCGCTGAAGATGCCGTTGCCCGTCGCGAACTCCACCAGCAGCGCCAGCGCCAGCGCTACCTGTGGCGGGCGGGAGAGGGTAGCAACCGCGCAGGAAGCACGGGCGCTGAGTGCTCTGCCCAGAGGAACATTCCTGCTGCGACCATGAACCTCTTATTTTCACAAAGAAGGATGCGCATTGTGTTGTTTCGACTCACCATGGCGGCCCGGCCGGCTTGGGTCTCGAGGTCCTCGACCTGCGCGGACGCCTCGACGGTGGCCATGAGCAGGTCCGCCAGCTGCTTCCCGTGCCCGTCCTCCACCACGCGCACCGCCAGCGCCACGGGCCGCACGCCCGCCTCGCCCGTCGACGACTCGTGAAAGTCTTCGAGGTGGCACAGCCGTGGCACCACCTGCGACTCGGGGATGGGCGCCGCGCTGAAGTCGCCAATCGACGCGCTCAGACCCGTACGAGCACGGTTAGCGGCGGGGCGTTGTCTTTGCGAGGTAGAGGGCGAGGACGCGAGGACGGCTGAGATGGCGTGCCGTAGGACTAACGATTGGGCCATCGCGTCGCGAAGTTTGGCTGTCAAAAGTGTCGCGTAGGGTTGGAAGTCACAATTTTGTTGAAGAAGGGACCAACGAAAAGATAGCAGTGAGCACAAGCGTCAAGAAAACTGGCGTTGCGGACAAAGCTTGTGCTTGGTTGAGCTTGGTGTGGTGATAAGAGAGCAAGAGAGCCTGGTTTGCTGTACGCTGTTTCCGTGTGGTTCCTTTGTAGAACGCGAACTGGCTGGATGGCGGGGGAGAGAGAGGTTAGCGATCCCGCTGTCAGATGCGGTGCGCCTTCCTACCTGTCGTGCAGCTCAGCGCTCAAAGCTCGAAGCTGGTCGTGTCACAGAGGACGCGGGCAACTGTAATGTGTCCGACGGGCTGCCCAACTTCGTTGATGGTAAAACACCATATCTCAGAATGGCTGCAACACAACCTACAACACGCTAAGTGTCAGATGCAAAGAGTGTCGTATTTAGAGAGTTCATTCGATATTTTCCTTGCAATGTAAACACCCAACCAGCAAACCAGTCACCCGAACACCACCAAACCACACGCGAAACCCACACCACCGAAACACCACCAACACACATTTCCGAGACTCTTGCCAGCTGGCGTGTGTCGGTGATTGGAGTGGACGGTTTCTGCTTCCGCAGTCCGCAACACAACCACCGTTGAAATAAAGAAATAAGGACGCGGCACATGTTTTGTCTTTTCCAGGATCGAGGGGGATCGAAGCCGGTACACCGATTCTCTCACATCGATCGGCACATCGATGTGCACACACTGCAAATTTGTAGTGTGATAGACACATCGAGCCATGGGTGCCTGGATCGAAATTGCAAGATCGGGCAGGTAGGTTCTGCAGCGAAATACACCAGTAACTTAGTCGTTAACCATTCAGAGCAAAGCACAGCTTGTCGTTATCCAATCATTGTTTTCCTGCGACTGTAGGCGACGCCGATCGATCGCGGCTGTCACCTGTGGCGCGATGTGCCCTCCCGCCAAACCAAACGCAAGATCGATGTGTGCACCATGGCACATCGAACGTGCGGGCTGTGGGTGCCACCATTTTGGTGACCAGTTTACTGTACATTCTCGACTTTATGCGAAAAACGGATACCAGTCATTGACGACATCGTCAATACACTGTACAAGCGGCACATCGATCCCCTCCCACGATCGATCCTGGCAAAGTCAAAACAGGTGCCGCGTCCTAAAGGTGTCGGTAAAGAGCTCGTACGGTCAAGATTTACGAAGAAAAAAAGGCATTCTGTAGCTGCAATCACCACACGAAAGGGGCTTGATGAATTTCCCGCTCGAAGAATGATGTGGACTGCTTCTTCCAGCACAGCTCGCTACGATTTGACGTGTAATGGCACGTGTAGAGCAGAATCCAGCTGTGAAATTCTGAAAGTGTCCCTCGTTGGCAGCTGTGCTGGCCTCCTCCCCTTGTTCTACCGAAAACAAAACCTTACCGCCCCTAACCGTTATGTACACATGCATAATCAGTGTATGTCTTGTATTACAGTTAAGATAATATTCCTAACCGTACAGGTGCATACCAAAAGATAATATTCTTAACCGTACAGGTACATACCAATTTTACATATACCAGGAACTAATTCTAATAGCTGAGAAACTGCTGTTCTCACCGACATGTTTTTTACCCAGGTATTACTCAAACCCTCGAACTAGTGTACTTTACATCCATCCAAATCCGCATGTGAAAATGCTTAGGCTGATGTCAATTTTAGCATTACTATCATACTTGGAACCTTGGGAGAGGACCCCGTATATCTCAGGACTACATGGTATTTGCACAAGAACGTCACAATATATCAAGTAGAGGTGTCGAACATAGGTGTGTGTGCAGTACAAGCCGCCACCTTAAAACAACTTCCACCCGGGGAAGCTACCAAATTGTGGAATGGCAGAGGCAGTAGGGGAGGATGAGGTGGGGAAGAGGGTGGTTGGTGTGCGCTCAAAGAAGGCGAGCGGCACCGCCTTCACTCGCCGCCCCAACTGGTGGGTGGAGAACAGGGTGTGGGGTCAAAGACAAATCATGGCAAGAGAATACATTTAGCGCCTATCGGTACGCTGTGCAGTGTGGATTGTGTTGCAAATTGCGAGTCCAAAACATGCCGGGAAAAAATGCACTGGTAAGCTGGTGTTCAAGTAGCCTTTCCCCAATCAAGATGACTGCACGTTGGATTGAAGAAAACAGCAACTTGATCAGGGGCTCTACACCTAGGATACTTTGCCATGACACTGATAAATGCAGCTCTGCCTCCGTGCAGCACCATGCCAGGCACACTGCCCACTGCACTGAACTCTACTGCGCTGTGCTGCACTGCAATGCACTGCCCTGCACCGCATCACACCGCAGGGCACGCACCTCGTCGGCCATGATGGTGCCGTAGGAGGTGGCGGAGAAGTCGGCCACGTTGAGCTCCATGGTGCTGCTGCGCTCCGATAGGTCCTTCTCCAGTGATGCCACAAACCTAACCCCATGGGACACGGCGGAGGAGGAGGGGGAGAAAGAGAGGCGAGACAAGGTAAGGAAGGTCATGTGGCCAGACGAATGGAGGTGATGATGAGCATGGGAGTGCCAGAGACCAACGGATCCAGGGGGCTCCAGGTAGGGTGGAGAAGTAGAAGAACACATTAATTTCAAGCAAGTTGGGGTTTCAAATAAGCCGGAAATGGGAGCGTACCTCGAGACAGCAGGGCAGTAGTGGCGCTGCAGCGCCTCCACCTCCCACAGGCTGCTGTCTGTGAGGTGGCGGTGAGGGCACGCACAGGCACAACAGGGGGGAAGCCAAGGGAGTGTTGTGTGCATGTGCATGTGCATGTGCATGTGTGCTTGTGCGTGCCGTGCAATGACCCGTTGCTCACAAACTCCATGGCCTCATGTGAGTGGCGTGAGCGTACCAAGGGCACGGGCAGCCATGAGGTGAGCGTACCAAGGGCACGGGCAGCCATGAGGTGAGCGTACCAAGGGCACGGGCAGCCATGAGGTGAGCGTACCAAGGGCACGGGCAGCCATGAGGTGAGCGTACCAAGGGCACGGGCAGCCATGAGGTGAGCGTACCAAGGGCACGGGCAGCCATGAGGTCGGAGGCATCCTCGTCAAACGGATCTCTCCCTGCCGGCCTCCCCGCTCTGCCTCCCTCCTCCCCTGCTCCTTGCGCCCTCTCTCCACTCTCTCCTTCGCCTTTCCCTTCCCTGACGCTTCTCCCCCTTGTGTCCTCCTCAGCCGAACCCTCCTTGCCATCAGCATTGCCCTCCTCGCCCTTGTGACCCCTCTCCTTTCCTTCCTTCTTTTCCCCATCCTGCTGCTCCTGCCTGTCCTGTCCTTCCTGCCTGTCCTGTCCTTCCTGCCCGTCTTGCTCCCTCTGCGCACCCTGCTTCTGTTCCCCTGCATCCTCCTCGTCACTGCTGCTGTCCTGAAGAGTCTTCCACACCACACACGCACAAGAGAGCTTTGCAGATTCAGAGGCGCACCAGAAGCATGAGATGATTCAGAGGCGCACACCAGAAGCATGAGATGATTCAGAGGCGCAGCAGAAGCATGAGATGATTCAGAGGCGCGATGATTCAGAGGCGCACCAGAAGCATGAGATGATTCAGAGGCGCAGCAGAAGCATGAGATGATTCAGAGGCGCACCAGAAGCATGAGATGATTCAGAGGCGCACCAGAAGCATGAGATGATTCAGAGGCGCAGCAGAAGCATGAGATGATTCAGAGGCGCAGCATGAGATGATTGAGAGGCGCAGCAGAAGCATGAGATGATTCAGAGGCGCACCAGAAGCATGAGATGATTCAGAGGCGCACCAGAAGCATGAGATGATTGAGAGGCGCAGCAGAAGCATGAGATGATTCAGAGGCGCACCAGAAGCATGAGATGATTCAGAGGCGCACCAGAAGCATGAGATGATTCAGAGGCGCACCAGAAGCATGAGATGATTCAGAGGCGCACCAGAAGCATGAGATGATTCAGAGGCGCACCAGAAGCATGAGATGATTCAGAGGCGCAGCAGAAGCATGAGATGATTCAGAGGCGCAGCATGAGATGATTGAGAGGCGCAGCAGAAGCATGAGATGATTCAGAGGCGCACCAGAAGCATGATATGATTGAGAGGCGCACACCAGAAGCATGAGATGATTCAGAGGCGCAGCAGAAGCATGAGATGATTCAGAGGCGCAGCAGAAGCATGAGATGATTCAGAGGCGCAGCAGAAGCATGAGATGATTCAGAGGCGCAGCAGAAGCATGAGATGATTCAGAGGCGCAGCAGAAGCATGAGATGATTCAGAGGCGCAGCAGAAGCATGAGATGATTCAGAGGCGCAGCAGAAGCATGAGATGATTCAGAGGCGCAGCAGAAGCATGAGATGATTCAGAGGCGCACCAGAAGCATGAGATGATTCAGAGGCGCACCAGAAGCATGAGATTATTCAGAGGCGCACCAGAAGCATGAGATGATTCAGAGGCGCACCAGAAGCATGAGATGATTCAGAGGCGCAGCAGAAGCATGAGATGATTCAGAGGCGCACACCAGAAGCATGAGATGATTCAGAGGCGCAGCAGAAGCATGAGATGATTCAGAGGCGCAGCAGAAGCATGAGATGATTCAGAGGCGCAGCAGAAGCATGAGATGATTCAGAGGCGCACCAGAAACATGAGATGATTCAGAGGCGCACACCAGAAGCATGAGATGATTCAGAGGCGCACCAGAAGCATGAGATGATTCAGAGGCGCACCAGAAGCATGAGATGATTCAGAGGCGCAGCAGAAGCATGAGATGATTCAGAGGCGCACCAGAAGCATGAGATGATTCAGAGGCGCAGCAGAAGCATGAGATGATTCAGAGGCGCAGCAGAAGCATGAGATGATTCAGAGGCGCAGCAGAAGCATGAGATGATTCAGAGGCGCAGCAGAAGCATGAGATGATACAGAGGCGCACCAGAAGCATGAGATGATTCAGAGGCGCACCAGAAGCATGAGATGATTCAGAGGCGCAGCAGAAGCATGAGATGATTCAGAGGCGCACACCAGAAGCATGAGATGATTCAGAGGCGCACCAGAAGCATGAGATGATTCAGAGGCGCACCAGAAGCATGAGATGATTCAGAGGCGCAGCAGAAGCATGAGATGATTCAGAGGCGCACCAGAAGCATGAGATGATTCAGAGGCGCAGCAGAAGCATGAGATGATTCAGAGGCGCAGCAGAAGCATGAGATGATTCAGAGGCGCAGCAGAAGCATGAGATGATTCAGAGGCGCACACCAGAAGCATGAGATGATTCAGAGGCGCACCAGAAGCATGAGATGATTCAGAGGCGCACCAGAAGCATGAGATGATATCACATGAAGAGAGAACAGGAACACAACTGAATGCAACCCAACCCAACTCGACCTAAGAGCAAGGAGCAACAGGGCCGTCCCACTGCCTCAACCAACCACGTGTGTTGCACCCCATGTGTTGCGTTGCGTTGCACCCCATGTGAACAAAATCACGCATCACCTGAAACTGAATCGTGTCTGGCGCCTCACCTCAAGTGAGTGGCGCCTCACCTGAAGCGTGTCAGGCGAGGCGGTGCGGTGCACGAGGGGGGCGATGGCGGGGTGGCGGCGCAGCAGGTTGTGGGCGAGCGCCACCACGACTATGGCGCCCGCGGGGGGCGCAGAGAGCGAGAGGCGGCAGAGCTGCTTGGTGAAGGCTGCTGCCATGTACGCTGGGAGCAGTGGTGATGCTAGACTCCCATCCAGCAGCTGGGGAAGAGGGGGGGAGGGGGGGTGGAGGTGGGGGTGGGGGTAAGGGAAGGAGAGGGGGGGTTGAAGAAACCGTGTGCATGGGTGGCGCTGTTGCATTGCGCCGTGGGAGAAGATGTGGCATTCGTGAATCAGTGCCCCCTGTGCCATCATCGATGTGGTACCAGATGACATGTCACACATAGCATGTGCCATGGCATGTGATCTAGCAACTGACGTGCAAGGCATGGCCTCGCATGGTATGGCACGGCACGGAACTTGGCACCTCAAAGAACTTGGCACCTCAAAGAACTTGGCGCGGTGGGCAGCGCGGAAGACGGAGGAGTCGAGGAGGCGGTAGAGGCGCGGGTAGTACTGAGGGCACTCCAAGCCGTGCTCCGTCACCAGCCGGAACAGCGCTGCCAGTGCTGCCACCGCACACGCCCCGCCCTGCTCGTATGACACTGTGAGGAAGTCGCTGGGGAAGGATGGGCGGGCACGGAGAGGACGACGGACAGGGGTGCAGTGCAGTGCAGTGGGGCGCGTGAGGCGGTGTTCTGACGGCATATGGCGTCGATGGGATGAGAACACGCGCGGTGGGAGGGCACATGGCGAGGATGGTCAAACGAGAGAGCGTATGCGGTGCGGGGGAGGAATCTTTGGGGGACAGGGATGCACGTGGACGAGGTAGTGAGAGGAGGTGAGAGGAGGTGAGAGGGGGAGGGGCAGGAGTGCACCTGAGCAGCAAGGGATTGGGCAGATGTGGGATGAGGTTGGGCAGGCCACCCAACACCTGTGGCATGGCATGATGGAGGGCGAGTGACGAGATGGGCGCGTGAAGGGACGTGGCAGAAAGTACCAGGAAATTAGACAAGAGAGGCTGGCGAGGGGTCAAGCAGCAGGGGAGGCAGTGGGAGGCAGGAGTGCAAAGAGAGGTGCAACATGCGTGTTGGGGGGGCGGCGTAGGAGTTGCGGTAGGGTGGGTGCGGGGTGTGGCGAGAAGGGGTGGTGATGACCTTCTTGTAGGCGTCGAGGGGCAGAGGCAGGGCCAGCAGCCCCAGCCACGCCCCTGCCAGTGCCTTGCGCTCCTCTCCTACCACCGCTGCCCTCCTCTCCTCCGCCTCCACTGCCCCCTGCTCCCCCTCTTCCTCCCGCTCCCCCTCGACTTTCATCCCCACCGCCCGCTTCCTGCTGCCCTGCTGCCCTGCCTGCCTCGCTCGCTTGCCACCGGCACTCTTCTTCGCCCCCCCCTGCTGCGCCCCCCCTGCGCTCCACAGGGGTTGGGGGGACAAGGGGAAGGCCGAGTGAGAGTGAGAGGGTGGCGGACAGGGAGATGCAGCAGAAGCAACATGCAAGAAAGTGCAAGTGCGGGGGAAGAAAGGCAAGTGCGGGGGAAGAAAGGCAAGTGCGGGGGAAGAAAGGCAAGAGCGGGGGAAGAAAGGCAAGTGCGGGGGAAGAAAGGCAAGTGCGGGGGAAGAAATGCAAGTGCGGGGGAAGAAAGGCAAGTGCGGGGGAAGAAATGCAAGTGCGAGGGAAGAAAGGCAAGTGCGGGGGAAGACGGAGCGGTGAGGACCCAGCCCAAGGGAGCACGCACCAGAGAGAGGGGCGGGCAGCGCCCACGTGGAGAGCAGCTCGGCCTTGTCGCCCCCGCCCTGCCCCTCCTCCGCCACCAGCCTCTTGCCGCCCGGCTTTGAGGCGGGCGGCATGGGCATGGCGAACAGCACCTCCAGTATGTTGAGACACATGGCGGCCTGTGATTGGCGCATGGGGGGAGTGGACAGTGGTGATGGCAGTGAGGAGAGGACAGGCCAACTGAGAGGAGTAGAGCGCAGCACAGCAGCACAGCAGCACAGCAGCACAGCAGCACAGCAGCAGGTGTGAGGTGCAGCGAGTGGGGATGCACGCACTGCCAGTGGCCGAGCTGGTAGCGAGGTGCGTGCGTGATACAGGGAAGCACATGGGTGGATGAAGAGGGGTGTGGGCAGGCAGGCGGACACTCACTCGCTTGGCAGCAGCTGAGGGCGCTCGTGGATGCACGGTGGCGAGTTGGTAGGGCGGCACACCACAAGGCAGCATCACGCATGCAGCATGTGGCACACCACAAGGCAGCATCACGCATGCAGCATGTGGCACACCACAAGGCAGCATCACGCATGCAGCATGTGGCACACCACAAGGCAGCATCACGTATGCAGCATGTGGCACACCACAAGGCAGCATCACGCATGCAGCATGTGGCACACCACAAGGCAGCATCACGCATGCAGCATGTGGCACGTGGGATCAAATCAGGCACAGGTGGGTGTGGTGGAGGACGCACAGAGACGAGAACGGGGATGAGAGATGGCATAGGGAGGCAGGACGACACACAATGAGTGGAGATTTTATTGAGAAAACGGGTAGCAATGTTTTGGCTTACAGGATGCAGTTGATTTGATTCTATGGGAGACAGACAGCGGCAAGGAATGTAGTGTGTGTGCCGGCAGGTGGTGGTCCAATCCAACCCAACACAGTGGCGTGCAGGTGGCGTACCTGCATCCACCTCATCCTGAGCCGCGTTGGAGTGGTTGGCGGCAGCAGCAGCCATGGACGCGCACAGCTGCTCCACTGCCCCGTACACATGCCGCCTGCCACGGTGTGGCGTGGGAGTATGCGTGCGGGGCGAAGGTGAGAGAGGCGGTGAAGGACACTTATGGTGGGTGCGATGCGATTGGTGATCATGATTGGCACGGCATGCACGGCATGCACGGCATGCACGGCACGGGCCGCACGAGCAGACGGCATGCACGGGACGCACGAGCAGTGGCACAACAACATGCCATGTGCAATGCACCGAAACACACGCACCCACCTGACGTCAGCATGGGTGAAGAACGCAGCGAACTTGGCGAGCACTGCGGGGTCGCCCGCCTCGCCCTCCACCTGCAAGGAGGGGGCGAGGGGGAAGGTGGGGCGAGTTGAAAAGGGAGAGGATGAAAAGGGACCAGGAGGCAATTGGCAATGACGGTCAGGGAAGAGCGGTTTGCTTGAATGGGCGTGGCTCAGCTCACCATGGGGAATGGCTCACCATGGGGAATGGGTCACCATAGGGAATGGCTCACCATGGGGAATGGCTCACCAGGGGGATGAGTATTTTGTTGATGGTGGCGCCAGCGAGGGCGCCCTTCTTTTCCAGGCGAGCCAGCTCCATCAGATGCTCCACCGCCACCCGCTGATGGGGGGAGAGAGGGCGGGGGGAGAGAAGGGGTGGAGGAGGAAGGGGGTGGGGGGGTGTGGAAGCGCACAAACGCACAGTGAAGTGGATTGCACGGCACGTGCATTGGGCTGCGGGGCTGCAGCAGGACGGGCGAGCAAGCAGACAGTGACGAGGTGGAGCAGCGCCCATGCTGCCACGCCACGCCGCCACAGACGTCCACCCCTCGTCATGCCCTTCCTCCTCTCCGTCCTCCGCCCTCCGCCCTCCGCCTCCGCCTCCCCCCCTGTGTCGACCTGCACCGCCTTCCGCTCCCCGCCTTCCATGCTCCCTCGCGCCTTCTCCCCCAACATCCCCTCCACCGCACTGCGCCCCCCCCCATCCACGTCCTTCTACGCGCCTATCTGCTCCGCTTGCCCTCCGGGCCCCCCAACACAACCCAGCCCCCCTTTCCCGCACCCTAGCACCACGTGCGCCCCGCGCACCTTACTGGCGGCGCTACATTCCGCGGATCTGAGGCGCGCCTTAAGTGCGCCCGTGTACTCGCCGTACCGCGCGCGCGCCCACTGCTGATACACCTCCTCCTTCGCCCGTTCCTCTCCTGCCCGCCCGCCTGCGCCACCCGCGCGGCTGGCTGCCACGTGACACGGGGAGAGAGGGGCGCGTAAGAGGCAGGGAAGGCACGGCGCGCGGGAGCGGCTGAGGCCCTTCCGCGCCGCCGTGCGCGGCAACGGCGCGCAATGGAGGATTACGGCACCATGACGGTGCACGGACAGGGTTTCAAGGGGAGATGAAAGGCAGGGGTTTTCGGTTCAGGGATTATACTGCGGCCAGGAATTATGGGGGCCGCGGGGGGCGTACAGGGGTTGGGGTGGAGCAGCAACTCGTCGGAGCGCAGCAGCTGCGCGAAGAACGCCTGCAGCACCGTCACCGCCTCCATCGCCACTGCGCCGTCGCGATGCGCGGCGAAGCGCAGCAGCGCGACGACGTTGTTGACGTGCTCCCGCGACTGCAGCAGCTGCGCGCCCAGCCGCCGCACCTGCTCCAGCGGGGGCGCCTCGCGCACCACCATGGCGGAGCGCCGGGGGGAAACGACGGGCGGGAAGAGCGGCGGATAGATGGGGACCTCGGTGGTGGCGAAGGTGCGGCGCGCGAGTGAAGAAAGGGGTCGACGATGGTGCGCGGCGTGGCACGGGTGGGACTACAATCGGGACGAACTGGTGCGCCGCGTGACGGGTGCCGTTATACGCGTAGGAAGCATAGAATTTGAGGTGAAGTTGGTGAAGGAATGACCTCCACTCCACTGAGTTGGGTTTATGGGTGGGGCCAGGTTAGATGGAGGGCGTGTTTCAGTCGAAAGCTGCTCCAGCCGAGCTTGTTGTCTGCAAACCAGCCGATTCCCAGGGCTTTTATCTAAAACCTGTATGAAATATCAAACACCAATATATATACAACACCTGGTTCAGAAAAAATGTTCCGGAATGTATCAAACACGCCGTGCACGGATTATTCAGCACTTGGGGGTTCACTTGGAGCATTGAGGCGCTGTTGGCAACCCGCGACTGCAATTAGCTCTTCTGCTGTCTACTCACTGCCCCTCTCGCACCGCCGTAACGTCAGCCCATCTTGCGTGCTTCGTGACGTCGTCGTCGCGCCGTGCACCATCACTGCATATTCCCCGCCGCTCACGGCCCCGCGCCATCCCTGGGCAAACCGCGGAAGGCACCTGTTCAATCGTCCTCTTTCTTCGCGCCCACGCGCTCGTCGCCGGCAGCCGCACCACACCCGCTGCGCATGGTCCGTCGCACGCATCACGTCGCGCCACGCCACGTTGCGCCCCCGCACGTTGTGTTGCCTCGCCGCAATCCGCTTTCACCGCCAAGGCGTCCGAACCAGCCGCCCTGCCCGCTTCTGCGCGCCGCGTCGCTCTTTACCGCTGCCTTTTCACTTGTATCCCTTTAGGTCTGCCTCCTGTTGACTCCCTCGCTCATTCGCCTTCGCCAGAAGCCGCCTTCACTCACCCGCGCGCTCATGCCAACTCTCCGCCCCTCCGCCACGCGCCCTGCTCCCCCCATCCCGTCCCCCCATCACCCCTTGCCCCGGCCCCTCCAACCCCTGTGCAGTCGCGTCTACCCAACGGCATGCGCGGGGGACAGCGGGAGGAGGAAGGGGAGGAGGAATTTGCGGAGATGGGGGAGGGGGACGAGGAGCTGGTTGAAATCGACTCCGGAGGTGGGCAGGATGCGGAGGTGGAAGGGGGACGGAGGGATGGGGAGGGTTGATGCTGCATCGGGCAGGATTGGCGGTGGGGATGAGGGGAGGGGGTTGAGGGGTTAGCAGGGGTTTTAGGGGCCGAGGGTACGGGTGGCAAGCAATGGTGTAGTGGGAGGGAGCAGCCGTGCAACCACGTACCGTGCTGCCTGCTCCCTGCGCCTGCTGCTTCTTGAGCTCTCCCACTCGCCCTCACTCTCCCAAGCCTGGGCAGCCAACTGTGGGCGGCCAAGCTTGTCTTCACTCAGTTCTCATACCGTTCCCCTTCCCCTCCGCCCTCCCACAGTCCCACCCACTCCACTGCCCCTCCCTCCCTCCTACTTCGCCCCTCGCCCTCATTTTCCTTCCACCCCTTTTTCCCCCTCCCCACCTACCGTGGCTGCTGCCCCATGCGCGCATCAGATGAGGACGTCCTGTCGGCCGACTTTGACGACGACGCGCCTGCTGAGCTGGCAGACGATGGCATGGGTGAGCGGGGGAGGATGGGTGATGGAGGGGCGGGTATGGGTGGGAAAGTGGTGTCATGGCATGGATGCATGGCACTGTGGTGCTGGTAGACAAGTGAAAGGGGACAGGAACGGGAATGGGAATGTGAATGGCAAGAGAATGGGAGTGGGAAGTGGAACGAGAGGGCTTCATTGCACGGCTGTGCTGAGCAGCTCTGCTTCCGCTCCGCTCCACAAGTGCTAGTCCCTTGCTCTGCCCCCGCTGCTGCCTGCCTTCCGTTGCTCCTTCTCATGCGTCGCCCTGTGCTGCACGTGCTGTGACTGATCGTGTGCTGCAAGTGGCGGTGGGTGGTGGCAGGTGGCGAGGAGGGCGAGGAGGGCGGGCAGGACGACTCAGTGCATGTGTCACGGCGCACACAGGTGAGCGCACGTGTTCACGGCACACACAGGTGAGCGCATGTGTTCACGGCGCACACAGGTGAGCGCATGTGTTCACGGCGCACACAGGTGAGCGCATGTGTTCACGGCGCACACAGGTGAGCGCATGTGTTCACGGCGCACACAGGTGAGCGCATGTGTTCACGGCACACACAGGTGAGCGCATGTGTTCACGGCACACACAGGTGAGCGCATGTGTTCACGGCGCACACAGGTGAGCGCATGTGTTCACGGCACACACAGGTGAGCGCATGTGTTCACGGCGCACACAGGTGAGCGCATGTGTTCACGGCACACACAGGTGAGCGCATGTGTTCTCGGCACACACAGGTGAGCGCATGTGTTCTCGGCACACACAGGTGAGCGCATGTGTTCACGGCACACACAGGTGAGCGCATGTGTTCTCGGCACACACAGGTGAGCGCATGTGTTCACGGCACACACAGGTGAGCGCATGTGTTCACGGCACACACAGGTGAGCGCATGTGTTCACGGCACACACAGGTGAGCGCATGTGTTCACGGCACACACAGGTGAGCGCATGTGTTCACGGCGCACACAGGTGAGCGCATGTGTTCACGGCACACACAGGTGAGCGCATGTGTTCTCGGCACACACAGGTGAGCGCATGTGTTCTCGGCACACACAGGTGAGCGCATGTGTTCTCGGAACACACAGGTGAGCGCATGTGTTCACGGCACACACAGGTGAGCGCATGTGTTCACGGCACACACAGGTGAGCGCATGTGTTCACGGCGCACACAGGTGAGCGCATGTGTTCTCGGCACACACTGGTGAGCGCATGTGTTCACGGCACACACAGGTGAGCGCATGTGTTCACGGCGCACACAGGTGAGCGCATGTGTTCACAGCACACACAGGTGAGCGCATGTGTTCACGGCACACACAGGTGAGCGCATGTGTTCACGGCACACACAGGTGAGCGCATGTGTTCACGGCACACACAGGTGAGCGCATGTGTTCTCGGCACACACAGGTGAGCGCATGTGTTCACAGCACACACAGGTGAGCGCATGTGTTCACGGCACACACAGGTGAGCGCATGTGTTCACGGCACACACAGGTGAGCGCATGTGTTCACGGCACACACAGGTGAGCGCATGTGTTCACGGCACACACAGGTGAGCGCATGTGTTCACGGCACACACAGGTGAGCGCATGTGTTCTCGGCACACACAGGTGAGCGCATGTGTTCACGGCGCACACAGGTGAGCGCATGTGTTCACGGCACACACAGGTGAGCGCATGTGTTCTCGGC